GGATCGCTTATCTAATCAATAATAGTGAATATATTTATGGATTTTTGGGGCAACAATGCTCCAAAAGCTTTCACATCTTCCATTAAACTTTGATGGAGATATGTTGATGATACCCTAATTATAATCATATATAAGAAGAATGTCGAACTATTCCATTCACATATAAGCAGTCAGGTGAAGTAAATAAAATTCGCTAAGGAAATAGCTAATGAATTTGCGGAACTGTCAATGTTGAACTGTGAAATCAAAAACAAAAATAGTAGATGGCAGTTTAAAAAAAATCATATATGAGAAAGCAACGCATTCCGGAAGGTTTCTGAATTGCCACTCGGTCCATCCAACCTCAGTAAAACGAGGGTTAATATAGGGCCTGACAGAAGGAACACGTAGACTGACAACATGCCCTGACGACCAACGACGATAAGAAGTGAATATCTTATTCAAGATGTCACTGAAGAATCATTACTCAGAGCAATTCATACAAGAAAGCATGAAGAAGAAGGAGAAGAAGAAACAGAAGTCAACAACAGGAGTCGATGAAGTAGATAACCATAGGAAGGCAGTTCTATTGGTGTGCAAAAGGTATACACCGGAGGCAATTAGAAGAAACCTTAAAGAGGTTGGCATTTTCACAGTATTTCAAAGAATGAATTTGATAAAAAGTAAATTGAACCAACTAGAATATCCGGTTAAAAAATTGGACAAGAATAATGTGGTGTATAAATGAAATACGGTGTGCAGACTACCGGATCAGCTATGTAGGACAAGTATCAAGACTGTCAAAAAAACAGATTGAATGAACATCAAAGATTAGTCAAGGTTCAGTCCATAGAGGGACAAAATTATAAACATTTGGAGGAAAGTTCATCGATGACATCTCATCTATATGACGGGAAACACAACGTCAATTGGAAAAACAACACTACGATACTAATCTCTAACAAAAACAAATGGAAATAAAGGTTAATAACAGAATCCATGATTCTACAAGCCACCTCAAACACATACAACAAAGTTGTTTTAACACAAATATCAACTATCTGGAACATTGTATTGAACAAACAGACCGAGGAATAATAAGTAAAGGCTATATGTGACGCCTACTGGTAAATGTGTGAATAAATATTACTAAACTATACCAATTGTTGATGTGATCATCGATAGTAATTTTTCTCGAAATATTACCAAAATATAAACTTATCTTTATGTATAAAACTTCGCATTATAAAAGCTACTTGGAATGTATATTATTCAGTATAGAGATGTGGTGCACCAATTCTTATGCTTATCATTTCGAAGAAATTCCAAGTTGACTGTTCGCCTTGTATTTCATATCGAGACCTGTACACGTTTGATGAGTGGGAAGTTTTCAGTGAATCTGTGGAATTGTTGAGATTTCCATGAAATGTGAAATGTTCATTCAATTGAATGAGAAGGTTCAGTGAAATGAATTCTATTCAGTGGATTCGTTCTCATGCTCTGTATTATATTTATATAAAGAAACATCCGTGGAGAAAATTGAAGGCAAATATTGGTTGACTGAAATAACACTGATGGTGTTATAATTCGATGATTTATTATTTTATTATTAGTCCCTGGTGTTCCTGGTGGAGCATATGGCTTTAGTAGCACGTCTCCAGTGAACTGTTTTCTCTGAGATCTTTTGAACCTTGTTCCACGACAGCCCGCAATCTCTCATTGCCTCCTCGCACGACCTCCTTGATGTCACACTCGGACGTCTAACTCGTCGCTTCCCCTGGGGATTCCACTCGAGGGCCTGGCGCGTGATGTCCCCAGTCAGCCTTCTCAGTGCATGGCCAATCCATCTCCACTTCCTCCTGCTTATTTGTTTAGTGATAGTTTCTTGGTTGGTTCGTTCCCAGAGCTCCTTGCTGCTTATTCTTTCTGGCCATCCATCTGATCTTCAGTAGCGAGACAGCGTAAGCAGTTGTTGATGAATGTCTGTAGTTTATTGGAAATCCTTTTCGTGACGCTCCAAGTCTCTCAACCATCACACAGAAGTACTGACTTGACTGGGTTGGTGTTGAAAATCCGGATCTTGTTCCACATGCTGAGTGCAGTGCAGAAGATCTCCACACTGGTTTAAGGCTAATGAACGCCTATCTTGCTTTTCCTATTCTGACTTTGACATCCTCGTCTGTGTCGCCTGTAGTTGAAACAGTGTTTCCTAGATAGGTGAAGGAGGTTACTTCCCTTCCTTTAAGTTTCTCCAGTTGATGGTGACTGGAGTTTGTTGTTGTTGGTGCGGTATCTTCATCACTTCTGTCTTCTCTATATTCACTTGAAGTCCAGTCTTCGCTGCTTCTTCTGCCAACTTCTTAGTTTTCGCCTCTGGATATAATTTGATGATGTAGGTTATTAATGATGACAGTAAACAGTTCATTCATTTTTTTATGGGGTTCACATGGGGTATATCGATTTTTGGTGAGTAAGAAAATTGTTGCGTTAATGGATAATCCAAGGACTAGATGATATGAAGTGAATGTGGTTAATGGTATAAATTTGCATAATGTATTGACTGGACAGCGTTAAGAAGGTGGGAGTGACATCTATGATCCGGTATTTTTTTGTTGATCTCTCGACATGAAAGCTGACATTTTTTGTCTCGTCCTATGTGGGTAGCCTGTTTGAAAACTACTGTGAACTCCGGTTTCATGAGGATAAATTTTTTTTCTTTTTTACTGGTTTTCATCGGTTGTCTTGAAGACGCCATTGCTTAGTTAATACCGCCTTATGTAGGAGTTTTGTATGGTTTCCCTCCTCGTATACGTCATCCTCTTGCTTTTCTTTTGGTAAGCTTCTTCATTTCACATATGTTTTTGATGTTTTTGCTGTTTTAATGGGGTCCCCTTCGTAGCTCATTTGACCCGTATGCTACTCGTTTTTTTAGTTATAAAATGTTCATTTCTCGGAGCTTTTTGTGATAATACAAAACACTTGCTTATATAACTAAAGGCTTGACAGTTATCATGGTATTCCATGGTATGTAACTGAGCTACTTTAAATAAATTTTAACTACATACCTTTTTAAATAATTCAGAACTGCTTCGAACGCTACTTAGATATGGTAATTATGTTTATTAGTATAGAAGCAAATAAGATAAATAGTTAGCGTGGCTTTTAAGTGTATTACTCTAAGTCTCTATAACTTTGACGCTATAAATAAATCTTTAGAATAAGGCATGAGTATTCAAGTGAAAATACTCTGTGACTTGTTCGTTTTTAGGAAAGAAATTGAAATGACAGTTTTGTGTCTATTAGTGGGAAAGATATACCAGTTAGTGTGGAACATTCTATTGAGAGCAGCTCAGAGTCTAAATGGTAAATTTTCCTGAAGCAAGCGTTAAATTGCAGTTTAGCTTGAGATTAGAATGAGAAAGCACTTTATCATAAATGCGTTGAACATAATTAAAGTGTTTCATCTTTAACAATCCTCCTTCAATAGAACTGACAAAGGTATTTTCTATGTCTTACATGTCGCCCAAACTCGAAGATCTACGGTCAAAAACTTAGAGAAGACAGAGGTGATGAAGATACCCGATCAACAACAATAACAAGTGTCATCCACCATCAACAGGAGAAATCTAAAGGATGTTGTCTCTTTTATCTAACTACCTAGACAGCATCGTTTCAACTACAGTAGGCACAGATGAGGACGTCAAAGCCAGCGTTGGGAAGACAGCAAGACAGGCCTTCCTTCATTAATTTGAAATCAGTATGGAGATCTGCTGCACTCGACTCAGCATAATGAACAAGATCTGGATTTTCAACACTAATTCAGGCAAGTCAGTGCTTCTATATGATGGTTGAAAGACTTGGCGTGTTACGAAAGGCATTTCCAATGAACTACAGACATACATCAACAGCTACCGTGTACGCTCGATACTGAAGATCACATAGCCAGAATAATAAGAATAATCAACGAACCAACCAAGAACGCATCGTCCAACAAATATGCAAATCAAGGTGTAGATGGTTTGGATCGGACATAGACTGAGAAGACCGTTTGGGGATATCACGCGACAGACCAGGCTATCGAGTAGAACCGAGAATGACATGGGTGAGATCGTATGAGGAGGAAATGACAGCCTATGGAGAATCGTAGACCCAGATTCGAAAAACTGAAGAGAACGGAGTGAAATGGTGACGAGCTACTGAAGCCGTATGTTCCCATGGGATATATAATAATGATAATGTCTAACATACCTCCAGCTGAATACTAATTGATGAAAGCTCTAAAAATAGAATATCCGTCTGACATGTATAATGAAAAAAAACAGTAAAATGAAGATGAAGTGCACTCTAAGGTAACACACAATGATCTACGTTTGTCTTAAGACTAACGCATCACACTATTTACTGTTGGTTATAAACGAGAAAAGAGTTTAATCAGTAGACGTATGGTATTAGTAATGCGTAATTGCATCAGTAGTCCACAGCATACTGCCAATCAAAAGAATTACATATGCATTGTGGTGTTCTTCGTATCTATAGGGTTTTCCTGATGCATAAACGATTCATATTCCTCTTGCTTGGTTGCAGATCATTTGCAAGAAGTCATAGACATAGGTTTCACGCTTGTCGATTCGCATCAGCGGCGCCTATCCACAACTTCAGGAGGGCTAGTTTCTCCTGACAGATTAGAAACAGTGTCATTCAAAGATGTAGTCAAACACGTTACCAGTGAGCTGTTCACACTGCTATTGACCTCTTTATTGTGCTGTGAAAAACTTAATTATAACAAGAGGGTGATCAATTATTCCCATATATTAATTAATCAAGATATAATATATACTTATATTTTTAATCAGTACCCTATCAACACTATTATTGTTATTGATGTTTTCTAATCGGCTGAATAAGAAAAATTACCGAATATTTAATTTCTCATTAGGGTCAATTCATTTAATAGTAATACACTATTGGTGTCCCCTGGAACATGAAATTAGAGTGTTGCATTTTATAGATCATTTACAGGTATGATCGAATATTGGAAGTGTTTTTTTTATGAATGTGATTATTATATAAGGCAAAAGTTTACTCATATGAACTACCAGATTGGTTGTTATGCTTTATTTACATGTAAAGGTAGATGCCATCGTGTGTTTTGATAATGGCTAAATCTCTAGTTTTTAGTAGTTACTATATGTCTACAAATCATCCTATATGAATGTAAATCGGATGGTGCTAATGCAAGTAAGCTTTTTTACTGGAATGTATTGTGTCTATATGTATTGTTGTTCAGTATGGTTGAACCTATATAACTAACAATATTGTTCCTCCAACTGATGTCAGTCTACGATGAATAACAACTTGAAATATTTCCAAATCTCCACAACCCCCTCAAAATTTAATTGAACTAGTGCTCGTTGGTGACTAGCTTCGAGAAGTATTCCCGAAGTTCCAATGACAAGTCGTGACCGGTGGAGTCAAAGCCTGATGGCCGTGAGGACAAATACTCAACGATGACATTGGGTGGCGGTTTGCGCTATATCGTGAGCTAACAGAAGTTGGAAATATGGAGCATTGGATTGTGACCCAGTGGCTCAATGGTGACGCGCTGGTCGCGGAACCTGAGTGTCGCGGGTTCGATCCCTGCTGGTGGGGTCGTGGGTGCGCACTGCTGAGGAGTCCCATACTAGTGTGACGAAACAGCTGTCCAGTGCTCCCAGGTTTCCTTTGTTCCTCCAACTGATGTCAGTCTTCGATGAATAACAACTTGAAATATTTCCAAATCTCCACAACCCCCTCAAAATTTAATTGAACTAGTGCTCGTTGGTGACTAGCTTCGAGAAGTATTCCCGAAGTTCCAATGACAAGTCGTGACCGGTGGAGTCAAAGCCTGATGGCCGTGAGGACAAATACTCAACGATGACATTGGGTGGCGGTTGCGCTCTATATCGTGAGCTAACAGAAGTTGGAAATATGGAGCATTGGATTGTGACCCAGTGGCTCAATGGTAACGCGCTGGTCGCGGAACCTGAGTGTCGCGGGTTCGATCCCTGCTGGTGGGGTCGTGGGTGCGCACTGCTGAGGAGTCCCATACTAGTGTGACGAAACAGATGTCCAGTGCTCCCAGGTTTCCTTTGTTCCTCCAACTGATGTCAGTCTTCGATGAATAACAACTTGAAACAGTTTTCAACAAAACGAAAGGTATAAGTAGTCTAAGAAGACTGTTGATCTACTTTAATTTCAGTTGGATGTAATAAAAGTTTCAGAAAATGAAACTTTTCAGTGAATATTGTCATCATATTATTAGTTTGTAGTTTAGTTATAATTTAAAGCTATTAAATCCAACATATCTTGTTCATCGTTGTTTTTCTCCTCAAGATTTAATGTTACTAGGGCATTTTACAAATAGCATAGATAAACTTTCACAATATTTATAGTATAATGTTTTAAAATGTGTTTAGAACCGTTTGTTTTTTCTTATTAGTAGCAGTGACTGGTTTATTAGTTCCAGAGACCTGAAGTACAAATATACTTCAATACACCATTTACACATACTGATTTTTTGATGACTAACAGACAGTATGATTAAAAAGACAATCTTATGAAACTAGAACCAGATAGTTACTGGAAACAAATATCAAAGGAATAAAAGTTTGCAAAACTATATGGTATTCGATTTTTCACCCCAATGATGTTTATTTGTGAATCATAACAGTGACTAGCAAAAAATAGACCCTTTTAACTCATAATCAATCGATATAAGATTCGATATTAATGATAGATAGTGGTTCACGTTTCGTCCCATTTGGGACTCGTCAGCTGCATGTACCTATCTCCTAGTGAGCGATGTTACTCCCTTTAGAACTGGAAGTTGGCAGAGATCACTCCACTAGACCATCAAGTCACAATTATTATTTATTATTATTAGTCCCTTGGGTTCCTAGTGGAACATAGGGCTTCAGTAGCACGCCTCCAGTGAACTCTCTTCTCTGAGATCTTTTGAACCTGGTCCCACGACAGCCCAGAAGCTCTCATTTCCTGCTCGCACGACCTCCTCCATGTCACCCTCGGACGTCCAACTCGTCGCTTCCCATGGGGATTCCACTCGAGGGCCTGACGCGTGATGTCCCCAGTCGGCCTTCTCAGTGCATGGCCAATCCATCTCCACTTCCTCCTGCATATTTGTTGCGTGATAGCTTCTTGGTTGGTTCGTTCCCAGAGTTCCTTGCTGCTTATTTTTTCTGGCCATCTGATCTTCAGCAGCGAGCGTAAGCAGTTGTTGATGAATGTCTGTAGTTTATTGGAAATGCCTTTCGTAAAGCGCCAAGTCTCTGAGCCATACAAGAGCACTGACTTGACGTTGGTGTTGAAAATCCGTATCTTGTTCCGCATGCTGAGTGCAGATCTCCACACTGGTTTCAGGCTAATGAACGCCTGTCTTGCTTTTCCGATTCTGACTTTGACGTCTTCGTCCGTCCCGCCTGTAGTTGAAACAGTGCTTCCTAGATAAGTGAAGGAGGTTACTTCCTTTAAGTTTCTCCCGTTGACGGTGATTGGAGTTTGTTGTTGTTGTTGTTGATGGTGGTGGTGCGGTATCTTCATCACTTCTGTCTTCTCTATATTCACCTGAAGTCCAGTCTTCGCTGCCTCTTCTATCAACTTGTTAGTTTTTGCCTGCAGATCTTCAAGTTTATGTGACATTAGGCATAAGTCATCGGCGAAATCCAAGTCTTCTAGGTTCTTTTCCGTCGTCCAGTGTATCCCCCTCTTCTCGCTGCCTACTGTTTGCTGCATGATCCAGTCCACCACAATCAAGAATATCATGGGGGATAGTAGGCAACCTTGTTTCACTCCTGTCTTCACTTCAAAGGCATCACTGAGCTTCCCATTGTGGATTACTTGGCATGTGGCATCTTCATATAGTTGTTGAATGAGGCGGATAAAGGTTTGCGGCACTCCGTAGTATTGAAGCAGTTTCCAAATTACTTCTCGGTCGACGCTGTCAAAGGCCTTCTCAAAGTCGATGAAGTTGAGGCAGAGAGCTGATTGCCATTCTATGCTCTGTTCTATGATGATGCGAAGCGTTGCAATTTGGTCTGCACATGATTTGTACTTCCTGAAGCCTGCCTGTTCCGGTCGTAGTTTTGAATCCAGTGCATCCCTTAGCCTCTCCAGGATGATGCGGCTTAATATTTTACTTGGGGTGGACAGGAGAGTGATTCCGCGCCAGTTCTTGCAAGCACTGAGGTCTCCCTTCTTCGGCAGTTTGACAAGGTAATCCTTCTTCCAATCGTCAGGTACCTTCTCTTCCTTCCACACCTTCTGCAATAGTGGTGTGGGCATGGCCGCTGTTGTCTCTGCATCTGTTTTCAGTGCTTCTGGCGGTATTCCATCTGGTCCTGCTGCTTTCTCGCATTTCAGTAGTTTTATGGCGTTCAGGACTTCCATTTTCGTTGAGGGATTTATGTTCACTTGTAGTTCAGCGGCTGCAGGTGGTATTTCTGGACGAAGTGCAGGTGGTGGTCGATTCAAGAGCTTCTTGAAGTGGTCGGCCCATCGTTTCCTCTGTTTCTCTTCTTTTGTAATTAAATTTCCTTCTTCATCTTTTATTGGTTTCATCTGTGTTGGTCTATTCCCTGATAGCAACCTGGTTATTTGATACAATATCCTCAGGTCTCTCTTACCTGCAGCCTGTTCTGCTTCACTTGCCAGTGTTTCGTAGAAGTGTCTTTTGTCTTTGCGTGCACTCTTCTTCACTTCTTTGTCTAGTGTTTTATATATTGTGCTCAGTTCCTCATGTCATTGAGCATCCATGCACTGGTTTATCTTCTGCTTCACCATTCTCCTCTCCTTACTCTATCAGCTTCCAGGTATCTGTCGAGATCCATTCCTTGTCTTCTTTCTTCTTCCTTCCTAATACTGTTGTGCAGGTTTCTTTCCACATAGCTTTCAAAGACTTCCAGTGTTCTTACACACAGGTTTCTTCAGGGATGTCCCTCGATGTCTCCCATTTTGTCTTGATGGCTGCCTTGAAGATCTCCTTTGTAGTTTCATCCTTCAGTTCAGTTTCCGAGTGTTGTACTTGGGTTGAGGTCTATCACCAGCTTCCTTGAAGGCTTTTAACTTGATTTGGAAGGTTCCTTGCACTAGACAGTGAGTGGTCTGAACCTACATCTGCTCCTCTTCTTGACCATGTGTTAAGTAGACTGCGTCTCCATTTTCTTGAGATTGAGATAAGGTGGATTTGATTTTTAGTGTGTCTTGGTGTCTGGTGAAATCCATGTCGCTTTGTGGATATCCTTGTGCTTGAACACACTGCCTCGCTTCCAGTCACCAAATCGTTGAATGCACAGAATTCTGCAAACAATTCTTCATTCTCGTTCATCGCCTTACCGAGCGCTTCTTGACCCATGGTTAGTTCTCTTCCTGTGTTGTCCCCTCCCAGTTTCGCATTCACGTCGCCCATTAGAATTTTGATATCGCCAAGTGGGGTGGGGTCTTATCCAGTGTTGATTGAAATTGTCTGTAGAACTCCTCCTTTTTCTCTTGCTCTGCATTATTTGTAGGTGTATAGTGTAGCATTGTATGATTGTGACCTTCCTTCCTTTTGAGTTGAACCTTGTTGTCATGATCCTGATCGTTGGGGAGATTGGTTCCCACTGCATGAGAGCCTTCGATGCTGTTCAAGGGGACATCATGATAGCCACTCCATAACTCAGTGTGCTTGTGGTTGTCGTCTGGGTGACAATATCGGAGTAGATTATTGATTCTCCAGTTGATAGTTTGGAGAGTCCACTCCCATTCCATCTGCTTTCGCAAATCCCAAGCACTTCGATGTTATACCTTCTCATCTCCCTTGCAATCTGGGCTGCCTTACTGGGTTCAAACATCGTGCGGACATTCCATGTCCCCACGTTTACTTTCGCTTTCATCGAGGGAGAGGAGACACATCGGCTAATTGGCTTCCCGAAGGCAGGCTTTCACCAACTGGCGTCATTTCGCCTCTCCGATTCCAGCGGGGAATAAGTTTGTTTTCATTTTTTATATTTTGTTTGTGCTTTGAAGTTTGTTTAGCGGTTAGATTTGTTTTCGGGGTTAGGGTTGCTAGTCCCATGTTCAACATTCCCTCTTTACCCGGGCTTAGGACCGGCTAGTAACTAGTAAACTAGTTAACCAGGCGAGGTTATCAAGTCACAATGCCCACTTATTATGCAATGGTTATAGTTTTAATGTTGTTGTTTCTATTATCCAGTCGTTGAGTGAAGCGAATATATCATTATCTGTTGGCATATTGATTCCTGCGCGAATGCATCGATATTGCCCGTGTCCACTCAACGACGGGATAATACAAACAAAAATACTGGATATATGATTCCTTTGATGTGATAGATGTTTTCAGTAGACTGATTTTAGAATAATACGTAGCTGATATTCCAAACTACATAGTTAGTACTTTCTAACAACTTTTATGAATTAATGAAATGGTTTATTGAAACATCAACAACAGATTATTGAAACTAGATCAGTATTTCAGTGTTAATCTCGGTCTTTTCTGTCTGTAATGATTTCCTACCTAGCAAGTAAATACATTTGTTTTAAACATGAAAACATTTTATAAAATGAAAGATGTATATCTATTTTGTATTGACTGAATCACAGATAACATTACCACTTTGCGTAATTCAACATTGAATGTAACACAAATTGTCAATCCGGTGAAATCAGTTTCACTCCATTTCTGTCGATCGGCAAGGAAGATAAATGACAGCGATCCTAATTCAAGTAAGTGAGATATTTTCAACTTAATTCGTTGCCTTATTTGAATACATTCAACAATTTATACATAGACAATGTTTGACTAGACTAGAATAAGCTTGGTTATCAGATAGGTGCTGATGCATGAACGTGACAACTCAAATTAATCCAAAGCTTGAGATGAAGCAGGATGATGATCAACTGCTTCTGGATTACTTACTGTGCACTTCCTTAGACCGGGGTGAAAGATCGTAAACAGTATTCATTTCAAGGAAGTTAAAGTTTACTTTTCAATTCAGCAAACGATATTCATATCTAGGTGATACAGAGTTAAGGACTTTTATATCATGAATATCATGACTTAGATCTAATTCAGCCGGGCAAAACCCTTGATGATTAAGGTGAAATAAAGATCTGGTCAGAAGTTGGACCTTGTAAGTCAGTTGATAGAGCATTAGGTAGGAAACCTGGTGACTACTGGTTCGAATCCCGCCACGGTGAAAATTTTCATTTCACCTTCAACTGTCATCCAATATAGAAATATATCACAAACTGGAAATGTGTATTGATTAAACCATTGGTTATCTCTAAGCGGTCTGAAAAAGATTATAAATAAACTTTACAAACAGTTCAACTAGCCTCAGTCACATTAGCGGTTAAAGCAGCATCTGGAAAGACAGTCAAATCGATTGTCCTGAACGTCATAGTAGGATAGGATTGTGCTAACCTATGGGTGATGCTAGCCTAAATCTCAGAGGGGGTATCAGTTCCCTCTAGGTTGAAAAATATGTCGTTTTGACGAGTATCTAAAAGCACGGAATCTAGGTGTCAGACGTCTTACCTATTGCTTCCAACCAACCGACAACCAATATCAATGTCATAACAATGACTTTTCATGAAGTAACTATCACCTGCAAAGAGAAGGACTTACCAAGCCTTTTGCGACTAAGTATAGGGAATAGTTAATGAATTACTTCATTGTATTGCATTGTACGCATATTTTGTGTGATTCTAAAGATCACTTTAGCAACAAATGAAATAGTCAATTAGACATCTTTATTTTATAAAAATCTCCCTTTCAAAAAGAAATTAAGATACCTAATTGGCCAGTTCACTAGTTTCTAGGGAGGTCTTTAGAGTCACAAACCAATTAGGTTTCATTATTCTGTTGGGAAAATAGGTCTGCATAAAAGTAGAAGTCTAGTTAGCTGGAATAGCTTCATTGGCAACCCTAACAACTGCTAAAATAGCCCATAAGTTTATAGGGTTTCGATTGGGAAGGTTGTTTATCGCAAAACAGAGAACCGTAATTAGTTATCCTAGCAGTTATTGGAAAGGCTTTTAAAGCCAGTCAACTAGTTGTTCTATTAGTGATTAGAGTGGGCTTTAGAGTTGCATGATATACCATTCACAAGCAACAGTGGTGTATCTGAAAAAAACCCTACAAATTTTTTCAGCTTAAGTGACTTAAATGAGCATTTGTAAACTACTGTGAATTGTCGATCACGCACACACAACCGTATACTGCTATAATGCTTCATATTAGCTATTATTATCAGAAGAAGAGTTTCTCAGCTGTAACTAAAACGTGACTTGTATATAGGGAAGACGTAATGTTACCAGGTGCTAACGAAATATTACAGTAATGATAGATTAGTCAGTCTGTTTTTGTGTACATAGGTCACGCTTCATAAGTTTAACTTTAAAGATTTCATCAATGTTCAGTAGATTTGATTAATTTTATTTTGTTTATTATCTTAAAAGCTTTAGAAATGCCAATTTTGTGTCCAGTTTCTATACAGTGTGATCGAGAACCTCATGAACTAAGAGGATTGATAGAAGATTGTTGTCCATTCGATTTTTAAAAAAAAATGTGTAAGAAAGGGGGAAAAAAAGGTTTAGCGAGTACAATAACTAGGCACTTTATGGAAAGTGGACATCATGACTAAACATAGATAAAAGACAAGCAATATCGAGGCATCCGCATACGAGCCCATATGCCAACACAGACTGATCAATTCGGTCCAATCAACGACGGTGTAATACAAGCAATAACACTAAATCAAATAGTTATCCCTGAAGTTATATTATTCAAGATGATGTTTTTTGTATTCCGCAAATCCGTTTGCTCTTACTTCCCCACACATACACACAGAGTTTCTAGGACTTGTATGTTCAATCTGAATTGAATGTGTCAATAATCAAAGTGTGATGAAATGATTCATTTTAAAGAAGTGACCTTATCATTTGCTGAAATGACCAAACCAACTTTCTTCAATTCGAGTAGAAAGATATTCAGTCTTTAAATAAGACTTAATTAATGATATAATTTGAAGTGAAGACAGGAGTAAAACAAGGTTGACTACTATCACCACCAGTGATCATGCAGCAAACAGTGAGGAGCGAGAAGATAGACATAAGCTGGACTGACGAAATAGCCTAGAAGATTTGAATTTCGCCAGTGATGACTTGTGTCTTACGTCACACAAACTCGAAGATCAACAGGCGAAAACTAACAAGTTGACAGAAGAAGCAGGGCAGCGAAGATGGGATTTCAAGTGGACGTAAAGAAGACAAAAGTGATGAAGACACCGCACCAACAACAGCATCAACAGCAAGCGCCAATCATCATCAACGGGAGAAAATTAAGGGAAGTAACCTCCTTCACCTATCTACGAAGCACTGTTTCAACTACAGGTGACATAGGCACAGACGAGAACATCAAAGCCAGCCAGGATCGGAAAGACAACGAGACAGGCTTTCACTAATCTGAAACCAGTGTGGAGATATTCTGCACTCAGCATTAAGAGAGAACAACATCCGGATTTTCAACACCAATCCAGTCAAGTCAATGCTTCTGTGTGATGGTTCAGAGACTTGGCGCGTTACGAAAGGGATTTCCAACAAACTACAGACATTCATCAACAACTGCCTACACTGGCTCGCCAATGAAGATCAGATGGATGTCCAGAAACAATAAACAACAAGGAACTCTGGCCTGTCAACGAACCAACGAGGCGAGAACCTATCGCCCAACACATATGCAGAGGAGGCAAGTGAAGATGGATTAGGCATACACTGAGAAGACCGACTGGGGACATCACGCGTCAGGCCAGATCATCGAGTGGAACCTAGATGGGAAACGACTAGTTGGGCGTCCGAGGTGAGAATGACAATGAGGAGATCGTGGGAGGAGGAGATGAGAGGTTGTGGGCTGTCGTGGAGCCAGGTTGAAAAGATTTCAGAGAACATATTTCACTGGAGACGTGCTACTGAATTTCTGTGTTCCATCAGGAACCGAAGGGACAGATAATAATAACTGTGGAGGTTTTTAATTCTCTATTCACAGTATTGCCGCCAATATTATTAACATTATTATTATTGTTATTTCTACATTAGCAACTGTGTTACTGATACTTTTCTTACAATTCCTAAGGAGCTTATTATTTAATTTTGGAGGGTAAATGTTCATGATTAAGGCGTCTTTAATGTATCTGGTTTCTTGTTTTAGATCTTCTGTTTTACTAGTAAGTTTTTTGGCTTTATTACTTAAACACTTTACTAAGCCAACTTCAACTGACATAAGATGAGACGATTTGAAGTCTGAGTAACGGTTTGAATGTGAAGGTTTTCTGTAGACACTAATGTCTAAACTCCCATCTTGTTTCCGTTTTTATTCGACAATAAGCTTTGTAGGTTAAAAGATTCTATTGACCAAATTAAACAGAATAACTTAATTTACCAAATCCCTTGCAACGATTGTGAGGTCAAATACATAGATCAAAGTATCGGAACACAAAAACTTAACTAGGTCAAAATTGGTAGATCCTAGTAAGGTAAGGAATTTAGAAAAAAGCTCAGCCATGGCTATGCATACAATTACACATCAGAATGGATGGGACAGGGTGAAAATTCTTCAAACTAACATAACAGGGTGGAGGAAGAGATTGATAACTGAATGTTTGTTTATCGAATCAACACTTAACATATGCAGCAGGAATGACCTAGGACCTGTTCCGGATATATCGAAAATCTTACTGTCCATGTCATAAAGAGACGAGAAAATTAGGACTATGTAAAGGATATCTCAAAGTTGCGTAGTTATCTTGATATGACGACTATGGACAACGTAAATTAAGTCCGAAACGTAATCTAGTAAACACTACTGTTACACTGTGGGATAAATCTAATAAATCAATAACAGTGGAATACTTCATCATTCTTATATCTAGTATTTTCCTGACTTTTCAAAAGATAATGAACACTAATTAGGCTTACATTACTGACTGATTAACAGGTAACAGTTGACTTTCCTGAGCACGAACTCAATACATAATCTATGTGTGATTCTCGTCAACATGTAGATTACCCTTTAGTGTTAACAAATATCAACTCAAACATATTTATCGAATGGATATGTTTACTTATTAGTGCTGTTTAACAGCTTGTAGTCACAGTTGGGTGTATTAATCAGGTGATCAAAAATGGAGTTAATTTCAGGTATTCCCTTGAGAAATTTTAATGCATTGGAGAAATGAGATGAACAACAATAATATCCCAGGATTACTCAAGCCCCATATACTTACAAAGTGAATCATTATCAACTGCTGAATAAGTGACATGCTTCGAGATGGATTGTTCAAAGTTCTAATAAGAAGCTATGAACTGTAGGATCAACTAAGTCGAGTTTCAGGACAAATATTCCCTGATGGCATTGGATAGTAATTGCATTGTATTGTAGGTTTACAGAAAGAAGAAATTGTGAACCAGTAGATTCTAACCCAACAACTCAGTGTTAGCATCATCTTCAAGAGATTTGAAGGTCCTTGGTTCTTGACCTCCGACACCATCTTTGGTGTCTTACACTAAGACGAGAAAGCTGTCCAATGATCTCTGGTTTTTAACAATTCTCCAAGTGATATTATTCCATGATGAATACTCTTTGAAAATTAATCAAATTGCATAAAAAGAATTAAATTTTAATAGGAAGATTTATATAATGGTATTTCATTCATTAGTTAATAAATTTCATTGCCTATTATTGTTTTATTTTTCATTTTCATTGTAGCAATACCATTGGGAAATAGAAGTTTACTTTTTCATCATATTCCAATTGGACACTTAATTCCAAAACATCATGAGTTGAAGGCTATATCAATTAATTTTGATGCCAAATGTTTGCCTAAAGGTATTCCATGTAAGTAAACATTTCAACTTAAATAACATTATCATAGGTTCTTAATTACAGTACAAACTAGATATAATCAGTGACTTGCCTCAAAATGTATTTCTTACAATTCTAATGAAAAACTATATAACCTGTTATGTTAAACAAGTTGATGATAAAGACATATGCTCACTGATAACACTTGAATTATAGCAGTATTATGTTGAAACTTGACAAAAGTTGAGAAAGTTGACTAACTCATTAATTTCAAGTTGTTATTCATCGAAGACTGACATCAGTTGGAGGAACAAAGGAAACCTGGGAGCACTGGACAGCTGTTTCGTCCTAGTATGGGAGTCCCATACTAGGACGAAACAGCTGTCCAGTGCTCCCAGGTTTCCTTTGTTCCTCCAACTGATGTCAGTCTTCGATGAATAACAACTTGAAATATTTCCAAATCTCCACAACCCCCTCAAAATTTAACTCATTGATTGACTAGTAACTTGTTGTCCTCGCTACTTGAAAAGAACTAATACTCCTTAACTTAGTCCTTTATGAAGTCTAGGGTTCACATTATTCAAAAATCCTATACTTGAATAAAACAGCTGTACAGTGAGTGTTCTCAGATTTTTACTGGTTCTTCAAGGTGGTTGAAACTACTTTCATAGCCTTGTAATACTCATAATATACTAAATAATAAAGTAAGGGCAATGTAAATGAATACTTGTCAATGCAGAATGAATCTAAAGATTACTATACGACGTACACAAGGATTGAGATTTCATGATGGATGTGCTGCTTCGAGATTGAGTGACATCATCAGCATTTACTTTCCAAATGGTTATCGTCCTTATCGTAAACATATTAGTTTGTTTAATATTCAGAATACATTTAGTATAAAAGATTTTCACATATAACATTACTAGTGATGATTTTCACTTGATCATGGGGAAATTTTTTTCAATTTGATTTTTAATTTATTATGAACTAATAATATTGCGATCAAAATCAAAAAATATTTTCAAGTTGGTATTTTTGTCATGAACCGACATCATTTAGACACAGTGGCTTAGTGGTAACGTGCTAGTCACAGAACCTGAAGATCGTCGGTTAGATTCCTGGCGAGATCGAGGGTGTGCACTGTTGAATACTTCTGGACTAAGACGAAACAGCTGTCCGGTGCTCCCAAGTTTTCAATGTTTCTCTAACTGATATCAATCCATGATGAATAATAACTTCAAAAATCTGTAGAACGCCACAAACCCCCAAATTAAAAAAAATTCTTTTGAAAAATTTCTTGTCTTACAAGCAAAGAATTTGAAATGTTTCATGTACTATTTATTGACATACTTGTTATTCTCCGTTGTTTTGTTGGATCGAACTGTTCGACCTCTGTTGCCATATGGCCTCCTATGCGGATGCCCCAATATTGCCTGAACGTTTATTATGATAATTTATTTGGTTATGGTTAGCAGAAGAATCCAAGACGCCTGTTTCATTCTATTTGGGACTTGTTAGCTGGATGTACCTGAACCCCACTGACGTTGTTCCCACTGAGACCCGAACGTCGTACATTCAGGCAATATCGGGGCATCCACATAGGAGCCCATATGCCAATAGAGGTAGAATAATTCGACCCAAAAAAATAACGGAGAATAACATATATGTCAATAAACAGTAATAACTACTACCCGTGGCATAGTGGATAATGCCTTAGTGTTTGAAGCGATGGGTACAATGTTGGAGTCTCAGTGGGGACAACGTCGCTGAGGTGCAGGTACATCCAGCTGACGAGTTCCAGCTAGGACGAAACGCGCGTTCTGGACTTTTCTGCTAGACATAACCAACCAAATTACCATACGTTCCATATACTGTTTGTAATAAATGACAATAGAAATGAAATAAGTACTAAAGGTCGTAATGTATGACAAAATAAGTATAGTTATACATCACAAAAGTTTGTGAACAGGCTAATACTGAACTGCTTTTATGTGTGCGATTGTTTACAGATGGAAAGGAAATCAAAGTTTCTAAAGCACCTCAACAGCTAAATGCCAGTAATGTGACAAATGGACTGTCAAACAGTACAGTTACGGAAGGTCAACATGAAAAGGTTGAATCCCATCAATCAGGTAAATACTACACCTGCGAATTTTATAACCACTTGGAATGCATGCTTACTCTATATTTTATCGCTCAAACTTGGACAGTGTGGTAGAAATTAATTCAATAGTAGATGTGTTTATTTGATGATATTACACACAGTGAGTTATACAGTATTATTTAATTGATGATGTTTCGATCATAAATTATCATTACTCATAATCAGATCAATGTGTAGTTGCACTACGCTGAATATCTGATTTTTATAGTCCTGTCACCTCTTATTCTTTGTTTCAACTGATAGTTAAATTTTCCATATCACTGGTATATGTGTTGCATCATTTCAATTACAAGTTTTGATTGTTGGCTGATTCGATGAACAAAGATTCATTAATCAACCTCTTTCAATCTTCACCTAGTTATATTGGACTTAAATACAGTGGTTTGATCCCACCCATCCCATTGCTTGGTTGAAATAGCCGAATGTTTTTCTAGAATACTGATCTTATTCGGGTCTGTCGTTCTATATTTACCTAAATTTCGATGTTCTGCTATTCTAACGGACCCCCAACTGGCCTGTTTTACCTATGTGCATGAACTTGAAGTCATCACAAAGAATTTGATAGATTAGATTACTTTGCTTAATTGGTTCTATCGGATCCTTAAGCCAGCTGACAAAGCTTATCTCTCATTGAGTTTACAGGTTTAAATGCCAGTCTAATTCCAACTTTGTTGAAGGTCCTACGTAGAGTTTCTGATTTACTTTCTTTTATAAGTTAACACAATGGGGGTGTGAACTCCTTTCTAGTCGTGCTACTGTTATTATTTCGTTTCTTATGTGTTCTTACGAATTTCTTAACAAACTTCGGAGGATAATTATTAACTATTAGTGCTTATTTGATATATTTCAGTTCCTTGTTTAGGCCCTTGAACTGACTAATCAGTTTTCTAGCTCTGTCATTCATACATTTGAGTGAAACTGCCTTAGGTAACAGTGGATGGGATGACCTGAAGTTTAGATAACTGTTAGAACGTGTCGGTTTTATGTAGATGGTAGTATTCAAACCACCGTCTGTTCTTCGCTTTATCCTGCAATCCAATATACGTAATTCTGATTGTTCAATATAGTTAAGTGGAGATTGAGAGAGACTGATTAATGAATCTTTGTTCATCGAATCAGCCAACAATCAAACTTGTAATTGAAATGATGCAACACATATACCAGTGATATGGAAAATTTAACTATCAGTTGAAACAAAGAATAAGAGGTGACAGAACTATTATTATTATTATTAGTCCTTGGATTCCTAATGGAACACAGAAATTCAGTAGCACGTCTCCAGTGAAATATGTTCTCTGAAATCTTTTCAACCTGGCTCCACGACAGCCCACAACCTCTCATCTCCTCCTCCCACGATCTCCTCATTGTCATTCTCACCTCGGACGCCCAACTAGTCGTTTCCCATCTGGGTTCCACTCGAGCAACTGGCCTGACGCGTGATGTCCCCAGTCGGTCTTCTCAGTGTATGCCTAATCCATCTTCACTTGCCTCCTCTGCATATGTGTTGGGCGATAGGTTCTCGCCTCGTTGGTTCGTTGACAGGCCAGAGTTCCTTGTTGTTTATTGTTTCTGGACATCCATCTGATCTTCATTGGCGAGCCAGTGTAGGCAGTTGTTGATGAATGTCTGTAGTTTGTTGGAAATCCCTTTCGTAACGCGCCAAGTCTCTGAACCATCACACAGAAGCATTGACTTGACTGGATTGGTGTTGAAAATCCGGATGTTGTTCTCTCTTAATGCTGAGTGCAGAATATCTCCACACTGGTTTCAGATTAGTGAAAGCCTGTCTCGTTGTCTTTCTGATCCTGGCTGGCTTTGACGTTCTCGTCTGTGCCTATGTCACCTGTAGTTGAAACAGTGCTTCGTAGATAGGTGAAGGAGGTTACTTCCTTTAATTTTCTCCCGTTGATGGTGATTGGCGCTTGCTGTTGATGCTGTTGTTGGTGCGGTGTCTTCATCACTTTTGTCTTCTCTACGTCCACTTGGAATCCCATCTTCGCTGCCCTGCTTCTTCTGTCAACTTGTTAGTTTTCGCCTGTTGATCTTCGAGTTTGTGTGACGTAAGACACAAGTCATCACTGGCGAAATTCAAATCTTCTAGGCTATTTCGTCAGTCCAGCTTATGTCTATCTTCTCGCTCCTCACTGTTTGCTGCATGATCCAGTCCACTACAATCAGGAAGATCACTGGTGGTGATAGTAGTCAACCTTGTTTTACTCCTGTCTTTATTTCAAAGACATCACTGAGCTTCCCGTTGTGAATTACTTGGCATGTGGCGTCTTCTTAAATAGTTGTTGAATGAGATTGATAAAGCTTTGTGGTTTTCCGTAGTGTTGGGACAGTTGCCGAATTGCTTCTCGGTCGACGCTGTCAAAAGCCTTTTCAAAGTGGATGAAGTTGAGGTAGAGAGTTGACTGTCATTCTTTACTCTGTTCTATGATGATGTGAAGCGTTGCAATTTGATCCGCACATGACATGTACTTCCTGAATCCAGCCAGCCTGTTCCGGTCGTAGTTTTGAATCCAGCGCATTCTTTATTTTCTCCAGGATGATGCGGCTTAATATTTTGCTTGCTGTGGGTGGTTATGAGAGTGATTCCACTCCAGTTCTTGCAAACACTGAAGTCTCCTTTCTTCGGCAGTTTGACAAGGTAACCCTTCTTCTAATCACTAGCCAGGTACCTTTACTTCCTTACTTGCAAATCTTCTGCAATAGTGGTGTGAGCATGTCTGCTGTTGTCTCTGCGTCTGTTCTCAGTGCTTCTGGTGGGATCTCATCTGGTCCTGCTGCTTTCCCACATTTCAGTAGCTTTATGGCTTTCAGGACTTCCATTTTGTTGGAGGATTTATGTCCACTTGTAGTTCTGTGGCTGGGCTGCAGGTGGTATTTCTGGACGAAGTGCAGGTGGTGGTCGATTCAAGAGCTTTTTGAAGTGGTCGGCCCATTGTTTCCTTTGTTTCTCTTCTTTCGTAATTAAATTTCCGTCATCATCTTTTATTGGTTTCGTCTGCGTTGATCTCTTCCCAGATAGCAACCTGGTTATTTGGTACAATGTCGTCAGGTCTCTCTTACCTGCAGCCTGTTCCACTTCACTTTCCAGTGTTTCGTAGAAGTATCTTTTGTCTTTCTGTGCACTCTTCTTCACTTCTTTGTCTAGTGTTTTATACATTGTGCTCAGTTCCTCATGTCATCGAGCATCCATGCACTGGTTCATCTTCTGCTTCACCATCCTCCTCTCCATACTCCATCAGCTTCCAGGTATCCATTGAGATCTATTCCTTATCTTGCCTCTTCTTCTTCCTTCCTAATAAGGCTGTGCAGGTTTCTTTCCACATCTCTCTCAAAGACTTCCAGTGTTCTTCCACACAGGTTTCTTCAGGGATGTTCCTCGATATCTCCCATTTTGTCTTGATGGCTGCCTTGAAGATCTCCTTTGTAGTTTTATCCTTCAGTTTCCGAGTGTTGTACTTGAACTGCAGTCTATCACCAGCTTCCTTGAAGGCTTTTAACTTGATTTGGAAGGTTCCTTGCACTAGACAGTGAGTGGTCTGAATCTACATCTGCTCCCCTTCTTGACCTTGTGTCAAGTAGACTGCGTCTCCATTTTCTTGAGATTGAGATAAGGTGGATTTGATTTTTAGTGTGTCTTGGTGTCTGGTGAAATCCATGTCGCTTTGTGGATATCCTTGTGCCTGAACACACTGCCTCGCTTCCAATCACCAAATCGTTGAATGCACAGAATTCTGCAAACAATTCTCCATTCTCGTTCATCACCTCACCGAGCGCTTCTCGACCCATGGTTAGTTCTCTTCCTGTGTTGTCCCCTCCCAGTTTGGCATTCATGTCGCTCATTAGAATTTTGATATCGCCAAGTGGGGTGTTGTCCAGTGTTGATTGAAGTTGTCTGTAGAATTCCTCCTTTTTCTCTTGCTCTGCATTATTTTTAGGGGCATAGCATTGTATGATTGTGACTTTCCTTCCTTTTGAGTTGAACCTTGTTGTCATGATCCTGATCGTTGAGGAGATTGGTTTCCACTGCATGAGAGCCTTCGATGCTCTTCATGGGGACATCATGATAGCCACTCCATAATTCAGTGTGCTCGTGGTTGGCGTCTGGGTGACCGGAGTAGATTATGGATTCTCCAGTTGATAGTTTGGAGAGTCCACTCCCATTCCATCTTCTTTCGCAAATTCCAAGCACTTCAATGTGATACCTCTTCATCTCCTTTGCAATCTGGTCTGCCTTTCTGGGTTCAAATATGGTGCGGACATTCCATGTCCCCACGTTTACTTTCGCTTTCATCGAGGGAGATAAGATACATCGGCCAATTGGCTTCCCGAAGGCAGGCTTTCACCAACTGGCGTCATTTCGCCTCTCCGATTCCATCGAGGAATAATTTTGTTATTATTTTTTATATTTTGTTTGTGCTTTGAAGTTTGTTTAGCGGTCAGATTTATTTTCGGGGTTAGGGTTGCTAGTCCCATGCCCAACCTTCCCTCTTTATGGGGGCTTAGGACCGACTTGTAACTAGTGAACTAGTTAACCACGTGAGGTTGAAAGGACTACAGAAATCAGATATTCGGCGTAGTGCAACTACACATTGATCTGATTATGAGTAATGATAATTTATGATCGAAACATCATGAAGTAAATAATACTGTATAACTCACTGTGTGTTATATCATCAAATAAACACATCTAATGTTTTGTTATTTTAGTGTTCCATAATTAAATAGTTGTCAGTTAGGATAATTATTTTCTGAGAGCTAAATGTCATACAGGTATTTTGATTTCCATGCATATGCAAAAAAGTTAATTTGGTGTTCTCGGAGCTTTGAGGTTTGTTCACAGTCTTTTCACCACCTCACTGAGAGACCATATTAACACTTATTTCTAAAAGATTTTTAGGCTTTATAGGTTAGTTCATTCTTAATTAACTACAAACTACGTCATAAATATTCCCAAATTCCTGAATTACATTTATAGATGGTAAACATTACCATTTTTGAACATGTTTTCTTTCCTCGATAAATTTGAAAGAAATAGGGACCAAAAGATAAGTAGACTAAAATGAACTTAAGAAATTCCACAACTGATATTCACTGATATTCAATACAGCCTGAAATTGCAATGAATTATTTCAAGTATTTATTAAATAATACACTTTCTATCTTATGATAGTTTGGTTGGTTGTGGCATCCAGAAGAAACAGGACGAGAACATCCTCTCATCTGCGAATCGACAGCTAGATACTTCTGCTAACCACAAGCAAACAAATTACAATAATTAACATTCAGGCAATATCTGGACATCAGCGAAGAAGCCCATATTCGATCCAAAAGAACAACGGAGAAAAACACGCATGTCAATACATAAAGGAACTTGGTACCGATTAACAAAGAAAAATATCCGAAATTATAAGGAAAGATGATCACAAAATTCAAACCAAATTCAGTCACAATTTGTTATTGATCATTTAGGAAATACTGAAGTTAGCAGAAAAACTGTGTACAATACACAGGAGTGTGAAGATAGGGATCTGTGAACATTTGAGTGTTTTATCAGCAAATGAATGATAAAGAAGCCCATCGAACAAACTTTCATTTAAAATAGATGATCGAAATCAGCATACAAAGACGATGCAATCAAAATGATATTCATGCAACAGGGTAAAAGAAGGTCTGAAGGACTGAAAACCATCAACCTGATATCCTGTTCTCAATCACTCGTTTGATGACTGAACTAGTAGAAGCCATGATTCCGTCAAACATCTATCTTCTCATTATGTACTAGAGAAATCGAATAGGTGATTATTATAGAAATCTTTATTCTTGTAATTTATCGAGTCGAAATTTACCGAAACAGGAAGAAGTAAAGCGTAAAGAAGGTAACTACAAAACACCAATTGAAGCTCAAATACTTTGGTGATCACGTTAATGATGTTAGTTGTAGGTGGTGTGCAATCAAGAGAAATAGTGAGTTACTAAAAAGAGAATATATTTTAGAAAATGACTCCAGTATAAATCTGCAATATTTCAACTCTACAGGATCTAAGGGAAATGTGATAGGAGTTCAGAATGTGATAATTAGTCCACTGTGGAGATTAAAGCTTGTAGTTAAACCATCCGAAAACCTATCGTCACTTCTGCAAATACTGTTATTAGGTATGATTTTATTGAGAGAAATCCGAAGTGAATTCAACCAGTTATCGACCTGGTTCACAATGCTTAACACAACAGAACGACATGAAACAAAATCATAAGGAAAATCATGACGAACGAATTACAATTGAACACAGTTTGGCAGGAAATCAGGAGGAAAGCCAAAAATACTCAGCAAAATATGCGCAGCGGTAATTAGTAAGAACACGAAAAAATGAAGCAGCAGATTCAGCCAAATAGAAAAAGCAGGCTAGTGTAAGATAACATCTAACACATGAAGATGACAAGCAAACAAAGACGAACGATATTACACAACCAATAAGAAGAAAAATTGATGGGAAAACAAAGAAAAAGAGAACGGAGGGAGAGAAGAATTTCAAAATCACCGAGCAAGCTGCATGCAACACACACACACCGTCCTCTGATTCCCTTGCACACATTACATCACAGACGTTTTGTGTTCCCTTCCATTTCCAGAGAAGAAATCAACTCCGTCTGCCACCACACCCACAGATGACGATCTTCACATCTACTACATTGACAAGTTCGGTAAGAGAAGGAGGCGACCACGACGTCACACCAAACCGTCTGACAAACGTAAGTCCTGCAAACATTCCCACATCTCGATGTTTCATGCCTAACGCCAATCACACTGAACTCCATGATTGTTGCATTCACCACTCACCATTGACTGGGTCGTTGTTCTGTGTGATTGGTTGAAGGAACGGTGGCCAATGTGTCCATGAGTACTTGTGTAGTGTGTTCATCTGCTATGACCGAGGTGGTGTGGACGCACACACATAGTGGCACACTCATGCACACCACACTCGTCACATCTGATTTGTCAGACATCACTTGTATCCCAGTCATATATTCGTCAGCAGTTTTGTTTACTGTCGCCTGAGTGTATTTGAATATTAATTTTGTGTGTGCATGCATTTGGATGAGTTAAGGAACAGAATGATGATGACTGGGGTGAATGAAATTGTGTGTTGAGGGATGCTGAAATGTGACTTATGGATGAATACATACTGAAATGACAGGCCGTTTCTGATATGTATGTATATGTCTGGAAATTGAATCAGAGACGTGGAATAAGAGAGATGAAAGAGGTCAGGTTAGGGTTGACGAGAAACAGCGAATAAACAGATGGATCCAAACTATTCTGCCCCAATATTTGTTCTTGCTCACTTAATGTTGATAAACGGATATGTGTGCGTGTGTGTGAGACTTAGTTTTCTGTTATTAATTGTGAATCTGCTGTTTGATTCCGATATCTCGTCAAATCTGCTTGACAGTTGACATATTCCCACGTACTTCCGAATCCATCGGTGCTATTTCTTCTTGGTAGTCGGGCTTGCATTTCACTGTGACCCAACTAGTTATGCTTATGTAACATCTTTTCTGTCAATATTCTACCATTTCGGAAAGGTCTGTTGGATGTTGTTTAGTCGATAAGCAGTTACGGTTGTGGTATAAATTACTGCCCTATGATTTTGGTCTGAGGGCGATTCCTTACTGCTGCTAGCCGGATGGAGTTTGACAGCAGTAAGGTGTTCCCCTTGGATGATCAGATGTGCCATGCTGATGCTGCTTTCTCAGTGGAAGAGGTGGTTGGAAATTTTCGCCCCCAAAATAACACACTCCACTATGCTTCTGGGTCTGCCAGATCGGTGGTGTTAGTTCATTTTGTCGTTTCTTTCCGACCACCCGACCTCAAAATAACAAGAGTTCAAAACATCCATACCCAATCAGGTGTCCGGTGGGCTCTGCGGTCACATAAATCCCATTCAGGTACCATAAGAATGAATTGCCTTCCACGGTATAGGCAGCCGGAAAGTTTCAACCGCCCTCACAATTCTGTCAGCGCTCAAGTCTCTTCAGACTCCCATCCACCTCCTTCATCATTGCCTTCTAACCTTCCTTCACGTCTCTCTATTAACCATACTTCATCATCTTCAATTTCTCACGTCTCTGCATCATTCGACAACGATCTGAATCCACAGAACAGCATCACTTGTCACCTTAAACGACGCTCCAAATTACACATCCGGGACCCCGACGTCCGCACCCTCCGCCAAATTGGTCAACAGGCTTCATCGGCCAAGACTCTACCAACTCAAACCATGGATATGTGCTGTGTTTGCGAGACCCGCATACAGGATCCAAATGTGGCTATTCACCTAACCTCTTCCGGCCAATCTGGTGAATCCGTAAAATTCACCCTCCTAGTTTCTGGAAATTCGATGGCTAGCTCTCGCGGTTTTGCAGGTGTAGGCATAGCACCAAGCACTAGGCAAGAAAACTCACTACTAGACTGCATCCCAGTTGATAATCGCCTCTGCTTACACATCCACTGACTGCACTTCGGATGAAGTGAAGGACGAGTTCTACCGTAAACTGTCTAGCCTCCTCTCGAAAGCCCAACGTTCAGATGTGGTGGTTGTTGCAGGTGACTTCAATGCACAGGTGGGTAGACTGAACGAGGCAGAAAGGCACTTAGGTGGCACTTTCGGAGCCCTGGCTGAACGAACAGATAACGGTCATCGCCTACTACAACTGTGCTCAGATAACCGCTCATTTTTAGCTAGCACAAATTTCAAAGGCAAAGAAAGATACTGTCTGAGGTGGGGTCCACCGAGTTCATCTCAGCGATGGCCACAGATAGACCACATTGCTATCAGTCATCGCTGGAGATGATCGGTGAAAGACTGCCGCTGTTTCTGTAGTACGTGTTTGAATAGTGAACATGCGTTGGTCCGCACGCGTGTATGCCTGAGTCTCGAAGGAAGTAGGAAACATTTGGCACCAAAACCATTACGAGTGCAGCTCGACAACAAGAACATCAAAGCCGTTTTTAGTGGAAAATTAGCTAGGCAGTTATCGGAATCGAACACTGTCACTCACCCAGAAGAAGCTTGGTGCCATCTCCAGTCTGCTGTAAAAGCAGCGCTGAAGACCGTAGTCGACTTCGAAAGTGTGGCTAAAAAGAGCCAGTGGATATCGTCAGCCTCTTTCGAACTAATGGATGTACGTGAAGACATCCCTGCAGGCTCTGAGTACAATGAAGAGCGAGCGCAACCTAAAAGTAGATTGAGAGAAGGTCTACGCAACGACTGCGAACAGTGGTGGGCAGCGAAGGCTAAAGAGATGAAAGAGACTGTGGCGATTGGTAACAGTAGGCAGTTATTTAGACTCATTAGGGGACTTGGGATTAGCGAGACTATAGAGGAGGAGGAGGAGGAGGATGGGTGTGTGGTTCGCTCGCAGAGGAGACGACTGGAACAATGGGTAGAACACTTCGAGGAACAGTTTCACTGGCCTCCAGCCACCACTGCGTTGTCCGATATCCGGTCGGATCCTGAGTGGAACATTGAGATAGACCCTCCAACACTAGCAGAAGTTGAGGAAGCTGAGGTAACTTGAAACGAGAAAGGGTAGCAAGACCAGACGGACTAACTCCTGAGGTATACAAGGATGGTGGTAGAGTGCTCATACATTCTGGTTAACGGAAGTGTTGACCAGAATATATGTATCAAATACGATCCCCACTGACTGGTCTGAATCACTGATTATTCCAGTCTTCAAGAACGGTGAGAAGTCCTCCTGTGATAACCACAGAGGAATCAGCCTGACGAATATAGTATCTAAAATTCCAGGTCCTATTATTCTTCGACGCCTGAGTGGAGCTCGGGAACAGCGAGGTAGAGAAAACCAGACAGCCTTTAGACCAGTCCGCTGGTGTGTCGACCAAATATTCACACTGCACTGGCCTCTGAAACACAGGCAGGCTTACCGACGCTCGACAACAGCTGTATTTCTCCACCTGAAGGCGGCATTCAACTCCATTGATCCAGAAGCCTCTTCGCAATGTCTCTCACTGAAAGGCGCGCCGAGTAAGCGCATCACCTTATTTTGAAGGCTCTCTACTCGAACACTTGTGGGCGTATTACAGCCTATGGTGAGATGTCCATGCAACTATGCTCATCGAGTGGTGTTCGTCAATGGTGCCCAATCCCTCCATTCCCAATCAATTTTTCCATAGATGTTCTTATGCAGGTCTCCCTCTCGTCACTTGACTACACAGAGGTTGACGTGATCACGGGAGAATTTTCGCTACACCTAGAATATGCAGATGACATAGTCTTGTTAGGTGAAGATGCAGAGTCTTCTGAACACACTGAGTGGCAGGTTGAGAATGTTTGGGATGCGTTCCTCACCACTGAAATGCAAACTGTTGCACCAGGATTGGTCTCCAATGGTGCCGCACCGTGGCTAACAATAGAGAGTCAGTGTAGTGCTTCAGTGTGTTGACGACTTCACTTACCTTGGAAGTGCAGTGGGATCAGACCTGACGGTTGCTCACTGGTTGATGAAATCTCTC